CAGCCCACAAGAAGGAACCAGGCCCCTTCTGCCTCTTCCTTCCAYGCCACTCTCATGCCAGAGCTCCACTCTTTGTCTTCATTCCTCTTCTACCAGTTCATTCTACCACTTCTCTTCTTCCTTCTAATTCCTAGGTGAGAAATTTTCACTTTGGGGAATCCTAAKGCTCCATTAGGTGTGGGCTTCCCAGGGATCCAAGTGGGTGGGATTTATTTGTCTTCATGTCCCTGGGTCTGACCCAAAACTTGGCCATAAGACTACGCAGAGCATTGGCACAGAGACTGGTCCTTCCCTTTGGCCTCCCATCTTCCAATCTGGTCAGACTCAGGGAGTCCCCTCCCTCCCTCGGTCCTAGATTTAAGGACTATTGGGCTCACCGCCCATAGTCTCTGCCAGAGGACTGTCTCTTTCTCTAACCTTTGCCGGCTTCCCCTGGAGGGAAAACAAGTAGCATTGAATTTTAGGGGGTGAATGTCTGTAATGTGAAGGTCAATAGCACCACTTCTGAAAACTATCTAGATATTTTCTATGGAATAAAAAGGGAAAGATGATAGAATTATTGAATATTAAAAGTGAAAATGGTGAACATTGGGAGCCAAATTCTCTGAATTCAAGTGCAGGCACAGGCACTTCCTGCGGACAAATCCCTGAGTCTTCTGACCCTTTCACATAAGGCAGGGACAATAACCTTCCTCACCTGACCTCACTGGACAGCTGGGAAATCAGTTAGGTTCTAGTTAAATGCTACTTTCTTGACAGGCAGACCAGCCCTCACCCCCCACCCCCAGCACTATATCGATAAGGAGACCAAGGCCCAGGGGAGTTGAATAACTTGCCCAAAGTCATTCCTACTTCAGGAAGCTGGTGACAGGGCCCATGTCAGGCCAGAATTCAAGCAAAGTAAAGAACAAGTCAAGAGAAAAAGAGATGTGGAGAAATGAGGCAGAAAAACTGGTGAAGAAGAGACCAAAACAAAGTTAAAGAGACTGAGAGTAGATCAAAGTGCARTGGAAAGGGGGCACTGACTTGGGCAGAGAAAAGGAGAGATGGAGAAACACAGGGGTAGAGAGATGGAGAGGAACATGGAGGGAGGACTGGGCATGAGGGCATGATGTGCTTGCTACAAGGAAGGGAGACAGGAGACCCAGGAGCAGGAATGACCCAGAAAAAATGAAGACCAGAGCTCTGGGTAGTGACATCAACCCTGCCTTGTCAACACTCCCCCTTCCTTCCCAGGTTGTCACCAAYTCCCTGAGGGTTGAGAAATCCCTAAAATTAGTCAGTGACCTTGGCTCCTTTAGGGAAGGAGAAAGATTAGAAAGAAAAATAAAAAATCTTTGTTATAGAGGATGGGCAGGCGCTGTTAAAGAGTTAAGTACCCACTACATTCAGACTCGCTGCCATGTGAAATACATATCTGTATATAAAATCAAAGTCAGATCCCTTGATGTTTAGCAAAATTGAACTTTAYGCAACCTGTTTAGAAGGAAGGAGCATAGGTTTGGAATTTGAATGGCAGGGTGTAATGATCTTAAAAATTGGGAATGACTCATCTGGGTTCAGAGGAAAGAATAAGAAATGGAAGGATGGGGAAGGAGATAAAAACAAACAACCACACAAGACTCAAGAGGAGGCCAAACAGCATTGTGCTGTGTGCTCTGCTCTGAGAGGAAAAGAGATGGGGTAGGGGAGGAAGGAAGGGCCACCACGTCCCACCTTTGGGAGGCCAGGTCAGAGCAGGAGGGCTTCTGCTCGGCGTCAGCAGCTGGGCAGCAGAATTGATGCAGCACTGTTTCATTCCTGTGGGCAGAGCAGAGGGAGAAGGTMAGAGCAGGGCTGAGACAGGCTGGACCTTAGATCCCCCTACACTAAGGCATTCCTGCCTGGAATCCCTGCTGCTCCCCCTCCATGGCTTTTGAGCCTCTGTGTAATACCAAGGCAGCCAAATGCTGTTCCAGGGAAATGTTGGCATTGACTCCCTGTCCATCCAAGTCTTTTTCAGTCACCCACAGGCCCTATTCAAATGCCACCTCCTGCACAGAGCCTCCCTGACCTACCTGGTCAACTCACTCTGCCTTATTCCACACCTCCATCCCTGCAGTGGGCTCCTACCCCTGGATTTTCCATGTCCCTTGCTCAATCTTTTATCATAGTTAGTTCTTTACCACCCTGTTCCCCACTAAGTCCTTTACGCCTATTCACCCAG